AAAAAAAAAAAAGCAAAACTGCAGAGGCTCGTCTCTTACGGCCAACAACAGATCATGACAAATTTAGATCCCCTTAAAGCAAGACAACAAGGAGGAGGTGTTGTGAGAAAACAAAGCGCCTGGAAATTTCTGCACTTCCTTGTGTAAACTGATACAGACTTATAAAGCCATGTCTGTCACCGCTACTACAACTGTAACCTCAGCAAAACAGTACAACACCTCACTACAGCTACTTGTATTGCTATTGTTGCCATTTTTCCCTCTCATCCTCTCACGCACAAACACAGTCTTTCATAGAGGAGTGTGTCGGCGCGTGGGAAGGAGGGGATCCAGTTTCATTCTCTTTACCTCTGGATCAAAGAAAGTTGCGAGAAGGTTACAAATTCCGCATCATACCTGCAAGTATTCTGTGTAGTTTGTCGGGAAGGGGGGGGGGGCGTTATTGATCAGCTTGTATAAGTAGATATGGTATTGATCCATTGGTCTCGAGGCCCCATAATTCTTTCCTTCTTTCCCAGCCCTCTCTCTCACTCTCTGCTCGTGTCTACCCTATTTAGCCCTTGTGTTACTGCCTTGTGATAGATTACAAAACTCATAGTGGAACCAGCACATTCCCTCATCTTCTTCCTCCCTTCATCTGCCACCTCCTCCTCCCCCCCCCACCCTCCTCTGTTTCTGTCTGCCTGATTACTGTCTGATTACTCATTCTCTCGTTCTCTCTCCTCCAGCGATCCTCACCTTTCCTCCTCTCTTTCCCTCCCCACCGCCGCCGCCGCCGAACCCTCACCTATCCATTTCCCACTCTATTTTTTCCCTCCCAACCTCCCCGATCCCTCGGCTTCCTCACATCCCTCTATCTTGCCCTCTTTCTTTCTCTGTCTATGTTCGACATCCCCCCCCTTCTCCTTTGTCCTTCCTCGCTATTCTCTCTCGCTGTCTTCTCTTGTTTGTGCAGTTCTGAATGGTCATGGGGAAACATGTTTGCATGCTTATATTAACATGAATGATGTCAACTTGATGCAATGAAAATTATATAAGTGATGCTTTAAGCAAAATCTGACAATGAACTTGATACTAATACTACTAATGACGACTAAATGGAGACCTAGCAATTGTTTATCTCTGTGGTCAAAAACAACAATGATGAAATAACATTGTTTATGCTGTATTTATCTTTCTCGAATTGGTATTCTTTTTGATTTTCAATTGTTTTTCTTTCTTTTTTTTTTCTTTTTTTTTTATATATCATTTATTCAAGAGGTTTACTTTTTTATTGGTTAATGCTGAGAATTTGAGTGAGGGGTTCAGTCAGGGCAATTGTTTCAGTCAGGACAGCTGTACCAGGTCGCAGGATGTCGGTGAATGTGTAAGTAACAGTGTGGCTGAAGCAATGAAAATGGAAATAAAGGATATGTATCATCCAGTCTAGTGTATTTCTGACTTCTTTTTAATCCAGAAGCAGAAGCGGTGGAGCTACTGTCACACATGCCAGGCGGTGTGCTATATATAAAATGCAAAGCCCTGAGCATTTCAGATGTACACACTCTATTTTTGGAATGTAAGACACTCTACCTGGACAGAGGCTGCCTGAACTTTTTTATTTTTTTTTTTTCATCACTAAGCTCTTTCTGCTGTGCATTAAGTCATGTGTAATTATTCAGTCACTTTGTCATGAATTCTTTATTGTGGCCGCATTTTGCCTAAATGCAAAATGGAGCACGGCTGCCTGCCCTGTGTGCTCTCCCCTACATCTGTCCTCCTCCTTCTGTTTAGTCTCCCTTTATTTTTGAATGGCTCGTATTATTCGTCATGTGGTTATTATCCCTTGTTAAGACGAAAAAATGCCCACCAGTGGCAATCTGCAACTCTAGCAGAAAGCAGAGTGAAGAGGAAACCTCGGATGTGCAGGGGAGTGACAGGGAAGGAGGAGTAAGAGAGGATTAAACAAATGAAGGAGGATGAAGAGCCAGCCAGTGAGGAGGAGGAGGAGGAGGGGAGGAGGAGGAGGAGGAACACAAATGGGAAAACCTGGAGAGGAGAGTAGATAGCTGCATGCAGGATATGTGTGAATGTGTGCAGAAAGTGGAGACAGGAGGTGGAGGAGGATAGCTCTGTATATAGACACACTCATCATGGGGGCACCTGCAGCATACTGACAGTGTTAACAGTTCAAGAAGAGCGAAACTCACTCACACACACACACACACACACACACATCACAATCACGCGCACACACGTGACAACGCACCAGTTAGCACAGCTTTAATGCTGTAGACTGAGAGAGGAAAAATGAGAGGAGGGGCTGGGGGGGGGGGGAACTGCTGTCCCCAGGGAAACTTTCCCCCCGGGAAAAAAAAAAAAAAAAAAATCATTTAGTCGGAAAGACATTTCACTCAGTTCAGTGAGCTGAAAGAGGCAGAGAGGGAGGGAGGGGGAGCAAGTTAGACACTGGGGGTGTTGTGTGCAATATAGAGCTGTTTGTATCACGCTGAAGGGATTTATCTTAAGGTATCTAGAAGCTGACAGCCAGGCATTAACTCTTATTGCTAATATATCTGATTATTATACACAATGATAATGAATTCCCTGGCATCATTAAAGATGAATGCAATAGCTTTGGGTGATGCTTTGGTGTTACAGTTTTCTTGATAGGACCATCTGCATGCAGCCAAATCCACATCTTTATGTAACAGTCACTTGATGTCATGACATTAAACCTGCAGCACCTGCACGCTGGAACCCTTCCGTGACTCCGAACTTTTGTTTTTCTCATTTTGAGAGTACTGCGCAAAGGGACGCCGACCTTTTTATACAACCACTTATTATGCCGCGTATACAGTTTTTAACATTTTATTCCAACACTATAAATAATACCCCAAACCTTTCAAAATAATGAATTCAATGAATGCATGCAAGTGGAAACCTCACCCAGTAGGAGTATTAAAGGAGCTTGCCTCTGCGGGGGAACAGTGGATTTATACAGGAGCTGAGCCCCAGGATCTGACCTTCTCTATAAACTGCTTTCATGGAAGAACTTGATATTCACCTAATGAACAGAACCTTACGTGGAACAGCCTTGACATTACATCGCTGCTATCATGGCTTCAAACAGGGGTTGCTAAAGAGGAATCTGCGAATGCATGTTTCTTTGCAAGATGAATAAAAGAAACTGAAATGGAAATAAAAATCCATATTTAAGCTTCTTTTCGTTGCTTACATCTTCTACTGAACAGCACAGGTGCCAGACTTGATAGAAAAAGCTCCTGAGACAGACAGGCTAGGATACTATCACAGTATCCCAAATGCTCTGGGTAGTTGTGGGAACCCATTTGTGTGGATGTCAGTGTATCAGCATGCTGGCTGTGATTACCTGTTGTGAGGAGACCATCTGGCCCTCAGCGTCCCAGCTGGGTACCTCGGTCAGGAGACGAATTGTCTTTACCACACCACCTGGACCTCGCAGACATGGAGCACAGAGGCACCCACCATATTTCTCATTCATATTTTATTATGTCATCCTCTGACCAAACAAAAAACAAAAAGACAGAGAGAGAGAAAACATTGGCACACCCGGAGAGAAGGCTTTCTATATTGCTTGGCAACTGCTGGTATTGTGTGTGCTGAAGTTCAAAGCAGTGAGAGACACAGTATATCCCTCTGAGAAGTAGAAAGCATCAGAGTTGCAAAGTAAAGGGGTGCCTACGCAGGCACATTTACATGCACACAAACGTCCACAATCCATTCTGTCAGTTTAATTTGGCCACGTTGCTCAGTCAGAATAAAAAGCTCCGCGGGGGGATTTAATGTTTGCATCCAGGGGGTAGCTTTGGGCGTAAACCCTTCCTGAGATGAACTTTTCTTAGGTCGCTGGAAGCAGCCTTGCTCACTGACGCCCAAATGGAAAAGCTGCTTCAGCCCACAGCTTGTTGCCCTTCCCAGAATTTGGGTTAAATTGATACGGAGCATTGTTTCTGTGGGAGGTTTTGAGTTTGATGAGCTCTGAAGCCCTTTTGCTGAACGCTGTGCTGAGCTGACTGGCTGTCATTGCCACAGGGGAGCGGATGCTATTGTTGGACCCAGAGAAACAGCGTGCCGAAGTGTTACAACTACAGGTTAGCTGCTGGTGTATTGTGCTGATCTGACAGCAGTGAACATGCTGATAGCTGCTGTAGTAAGTGTGCTCTTGTTTCTAGCACTATGATTGCACCGAGAATAAGAGACTTTTTTATAGAAAATCTAGGTTATGAAAACTCGGAATGTAGCTCAACCTCACAACTAGGTTCAAATCAGTTTATTGTTTCTTAAAATTCCCCAAGACAAAAGCCAGAAGATATATTTGGAAAGACATAACAGTATAACAGCTGTGGTCTCTGGAGCTTTTCCTACGTGTAATTTATTCTGTCTAAATATATACAGAGTATAAACAAACCTTCTTAAAGCTTACTGGCCTTTAAGTGATAATCTGTAACCCTGTCTCTCTGATAAAAACCAGGCACCTACTGTACTTACTGTGACTATTTGCTGACATCTTCTGGAGATTTGGTTCAACAGCATTTGGAAATCTCCAGTGTTTTTGCTCAGAGCCCTATTTCCGACATAAAAGAAGAAAAGATTCAGACGGTATTTCCTTTGTCATTGGTCATTTTCATCTAAAACATCATAGTGTACTACTTTCTGTAAGGTCTGGAAGTGAACTGCTATCCACTTGAGAGAATTCCATAAAGTAAAAGGTTTGTGATATTTCATCCGTCATTTTGCATTCGACAAATTGACATATCTGCTTCAGAGACCTACACACCCCAAAGGATTTATCCTGAACCACTGGAATGTTTCTGTCACTGTAACCTGTAAAAGGCAGCCGTGAGATGCTGCATCTTTCACAGCTGGGATTTTTCCCGTTGTGTAAAACTCTCTGTTAGCCTCCTGCTCTGTCTGCCTCAGGATGACTATTAGATGGATTTGAGGCAGATACGATAAAGATGACCTCTCATGACTAATGCTGCTGGCAGAGCACTTGCAAAGATGAGGTTTCGAGGTTTTAGGCAGGATGATAGACACTGATGACCCTGGCCTCCAAGCTTCATTTACTGTCAGTGTGGACATCTATTTCTTTCTCAGCATATAGAGCTGGCTCAACACAAGTGCAAACACAGAACTGTTAATTGAACTTTCCGTTTATGATATGGAATATTAGCCGCTGTCATCTCAGATGGATACAGCAAGTTCACACAAGGAGGATTTGTAATTTGATATCATTTCTGCTTTAATAGAGGTGTTCAAATTTCTTGACTTAAAAGATGCTGAAGAGACAAGTCCAACTACATGCTTTTATCTCCTGGAAGGTCTACGAATGTAATAGCATCTCTAAAAAGATGATCTGACAACTGCAGCTTATTCAGAATGCTGTTGCTCACTTTCACCCCAGTTACAACAGTGGATGGTTTAGGATCAAAATAACCTCTCTATCACCCCAGAAACAAAACAAAACCTGGAATTAGGAATTACTATTAAAGTAGAAAAACTGTTTTAGGTCCTCTGACTGATAGATTTTTATACATGACATCAATACATTATTAATAGTGAAGCACCTGTTGTTATTGTTGTTTTTCTCCAGTCTGGGATCCTTGGTGAGATATCAGACTACTTGTACATTTATTGAAATGAATCCATGTGACCAGTTTAGAGGGAAAACCCCTCTTTAGTTGAACTGTCAACAACTCATTGACATCTGAAATGAGACCACATGCGACTACACACAACATTTTGTGAGAAGCCAAAAAGACTGGAAACCACTGTTTTTTTTATGTTAAACAATGTGTTGTAGTTCTAAAAGCTTATTATATTATTGTGAGGAAGCTGCAGGTCTCCCCTTACTAAACAGATGCACAGTTCCAGTACATGCTCTACCAAATACATACATGCACTCAGACACCAGTTAGGTTCAGTAGTTTGTTTAATGGTTCTTGTCAATGTTTTGATCTGCTAAAGATGGATCCTATTTAGATGAGTGACACACGAGCTGAATTTATTTTCAGGAGCTGTGCTGTTGGCCATCATGATTTATACTCGTTTGCGATCATTCTCTTTGTCTGAAGTAATTTCCTGGGATCAGAATTATAATGGAGGTGACACGTGCCTTGTGGTTTTAATAAGCCTCATTGGGACAAACCAAATGGACTGAGCAGAGAGGCAGGGTTAGGGATGAGTTGTGTTTGGTGAGGAGGAACATATGTCTCTTAGTGCTGTACTTGTTGAAAATGTGATAAGAAGAAATAGCTCTGCCAATATGTGGATGCTGTGTTTCTTTCTGCTGGTCGTTATCATTTTCATCTTAAAATTAACTGGTAACTAAAGCTACTTTCTTCATGAATTGTTTTAATCAACACAGACTGGTCACTTGTGCACAGGATTAACTTTATTTTCAAATGCTGATGTTGCCATAGCTTTACTGAAACATATGTATCAGAGAGCACATGCAAAACATTGTTTTACACATCGTATATACTGCATATACTGTATTTTGTGTTCTAACACCTTTTTATGTCTTATGCAAAGCACTTTGAATTGTTTGTTTTATTAAGAGGAAGAAGTCTGTATTTGTCACAAATACATTAAAGCACAGTGAAATTCTCTTCTTTTGCACATCACAGTTGGGGTCAAAGCTGTGCTATGGGCCCCTGAAGCAGATTTGGTCAATGGCCTTGTTTAACCCTATTCAGGACTTTCATGTTGCCATATGTAGAAGATCTTTTGGGGTCCGTTGGACCCCAAGAAAGAATATGTGTAAAATATTTGTTGGTATTCATTACAGACTTTTATACTATGTTAAATACATTTCTGATAAGTTGATGTATTTTTTTTGGTTCTAAATGCATGATAAATGTTTACAAAAATTCACCAAAAAAAGACAACTTGAAAAAAAAAACCCAAACCTTTCACCTAAACCAAACGGCCTGGGGACCAAAGGACCACAAAAGTCCTGAATAGGGTTTAGGGCCCAACACTGACAGTTTTGCAGAGCTGGGCTTGAACCCTCCACCTCCTGATCAGCAACACAGCCTGAGTCACTCCTGCCATACTAAAGAGTGAAAATCGAATATGCTTGACTTACTTTCCTTATAACGAAAACAAATCATTTTTTGATGCTGTGGGCTGATATATATTAAAAAAAATGGCACAATGAGTTAAAATTGATTCGCAGCTTTAACCTATGTGAGGCAGCGCTGCGGTCTGAGGCGCCTTAACTGCAAAAGAAAAACACACGAAGAAGAAGACGCCGCTGTTTGTGGGCGGGTTCTTTCGTCACTTCCGTCAAAAATACAACAAACAGTGCTCGCAATGCGGTTCAGTCCGCTTTAATTCAACCTAATTTAACGTTACATTCAAGTTCAGCTGATCCCACGATTCCACTGACGGCCATTTACCATCAGGTCGGTCCACAGCACTTTCTGGTTTGCCGGTGACTTGTTAGTTAGGGCCATTTGAACTATATTAGCTTAAATCGCTAACTACACTAGCTAACGCTAAAGAAGATGCTCTGTGCAGTTCAGCTGTAGTCGACACTACTTTTGGTTTCGTTTCAATGGATTTTTAACTCCCCGTATCACTGAACTAACCAGATGATATTAATCTGAGATGAGGGTTTTGTTGGTGTTTTTTGGAGGGAACATATAAGCTTAACTAGCCTTATTGAAAATTGCATCTAATTAGCTAAAATCTTTTGTACTATTTACTACACAGCTAAGGCACAAACCTAATCCAACGATCAGCTCTTCCTTCGATCATATTTCCAGTTAACAAGCTATTGACTATAGGAATAAGAAATAGCTGACTAGAAAAGGTGTAACTTTACTTGAATGCATGATGCTTATTGTATGAGTAACAGAAGACTGTCAATGGTTCTGCTTGAGAATAACGTACTAAAGAATGAATGCAGTGTCTCATAAAAAAAAGCAATCAAATGGGTATGATAGATTAGCTAAAAAATAAAGATAAGTAAGCTACAATAAAACTAAATCAGCTAATGAAAAAGTATTATTAATATATATAATTATAATTAATTCTGAAGTAATAAAGTAATATTGCACATGATAATAAAGTAGTGCACAGGAAATGTGAATGTTTGCTCATGAAATTGAAATATTGTGCACCGTACTGAACTTACTACTGAGAAAGTAATATTACAAATGATATTGATGTTGTTGTTGAATGTGAAGTGTCTGATGTTTTTTAAGCTGCCGTTCCTACAGATAAGAGGGAAACTTATCCAAGGTCACATAATCACATCTGTCTGTTTCTCAGAGGATGGCATGTACCAAATTTAGATGCAGGTTGTCCATGCAGTCAATACTCAGCTTTGGAGAGGTTGAGTCTTTTTTTTTAAGACTTTCTCTGGTGAAAGTTACGTTGTTTTTTTTCTCACCTTGCTCATGTATGTAGATGGGGTTTGTTACAGGCTGGAAGACATCATCATAAGAAAATTAAGCAGTCACTGCCATAGCTAAGTATTTCCCCCCTGAAACAGTGTCTGAAAAACAGATTCTGACCTCCAGGCTTTCATGTGTAGCAAACCTAAGAAACCAATCCTGTCAACTTGCCTTGTGGGAGTATCTGTGCCATCATTCTTTTTCAGAATTGGCTTCTGGTTTGAACATGTACAGCTGAATTATTCCAATAGCTAAACCGTTTTAAAGCACAATGGGTATTTTTTTTCATTAAAAAAACTTCTTAATGCATAATACACAGTTTTTTAGAGGTTTAAGCAGTGACCAGATAGAGACTTAAGGATCCTAGAAGGCTTTTACCCCCTAGATTTTCTCTTTGTTTCAAATATAAACTTTTCAGTTACACTGTACATTATTGAAAAAGTGCAAAAACAACCCCAAAAGTTAACATCAATTTCCCATCACATATTCCTAACTAGATAATCACCTGTGAATTGAATTACAGTGCTTAACTGAACACAGAGATGATATGTAGAGATTAGTATAAATGGGCTTAATCAAACACTGAAGAGGAACTGTTTATGTGTTACTTTGTACTGGTGTGTATTATTAGTCTACAAACTTAGTTTAGTGTCTCATTCCTGTGGTCAAAGTGCAGATAAAGTTCTAGGGTCATAAAATAGAAAGTCTGTCCCTTTTTCATGTCCAGATCCGTGGTGGCAGGTTCCGGACTCATGGAGCCGTCCACTAAGCCTGGGACCAACCAGGTGGCTGACGTGGTATTCGTCATCGAAGGGACGGCAAACCTTGGACCGTACTTTGAATCTCTAAGGAAAAATTACATACTTCCAGCTATTGAGTAAGAACCCAAAGATGCCTCCAGTTATGATGTTATTCCTTGCAAGTAGTCATGAATTAATACCTCTGTTTGGCTTGTGCTTTTCTTACCATAGATATTTCAATGGTGGGCCTCCAGCAGAAACAGATTTTGGTGGAGATGTGAGTGTTTTTGTAATGCCTGTTTTTAATATTTCAAATTGAATTCTTTGTCAGTGATTTCTGCAGATGGCTGTTAAGCATCTGGTACAGTTGCTAATAAACAACATTCCTGTTTTTTTCTTCATCTAGTATGGAGGGACACAGTATGGTCTTGTGGTGTTTAACACGGTCGACTGTGCTCCTGAGTCATATGTCCAGTGTCACGCACCAACCAGCTCTGCCTTTGAGTTTGTCTCTTGGATTGACAGCATCCAGTAAGTCGTTAAAAATCATCCAACTGACCATTACAGTGCTGGTGTCCATCTCATTTAATATTGCCCCGTATTTCATCATAAATCATGTGATGTATATATATATTTTATTTTTTTCCACACAGATTTATGGGAGGTGGAGCAGAGAGCTGTAGTCTGATTGCAGAAGGACTTTCAGTGGCCTTGCAGCTCTTTGATGACTTTAAGAAAATGAGGGAGCAAATGTAAGTTTTTTCCACACTGCAAACCAATCTGTGTTGATGTACAAAGTTGTTGTAATATTTTAATCCGAGTTAGCTTCTTGAGAGGTTGCTCCACTGTTTGAATAGCAAGAGAAACTTTGTCTTCATTAAGCGATGACAATCTTAATCTATAGCTCCTCTAATAACTACCAGAAGCTGGCTTCAGTAGAGTTTGACCTTATTAAAGTAATTTGAAAAAATCTTCTAAATTCAAGTAAAAAAAAATGATACAACAAAGTTTTAATGAGCAATTTTCTTTTAGAGTTCTCCTTATCTTTCACTCTGTGTGCCATTGCAGAGGTCAAACCCACAAAGTGTGTGTGTTGCTGTGTAATTCTCCTCCATACCTGCTCCCTGCTGTGGAGAGTGTCAGCTACACCGGCTGCACAGCAGACAACTTGGTCAAAATCATCCGAGATGTGAGTTACTATTGATTTTGTCTTTTTTTAAATTTTTGTTACAGATTTACTTGTGTGGTTGTTTTTATTTGATGTTTTTTTTTATAGATGTGGTGATATTTTTATTGATTCTTTTAGGTAGGTAAAAAACAAAATAACTGTATTTAATTGAATGTATGTAATCTCTATATTTTTAGAGAGGAATTCACTTCTCTGTGGTGGCTCCTCGGAAACTACCTGCTCTAAGAGCTTTGTTTGAACGGGCGTCTCCAGTAGGAGGGGCAGTGGAACCTCATCCCGACTACAGTCAGGATCCTTTTCACATGGTCCTAGTCAGAGGCATCTCGCTTCCTGGTGAGAAACATCATTGAAGTTCTCGTTTGTTTTGATGCCACTCTGATAAACAGGTCCATTTTGGTTAAAGCTCTTCGAAAATTGCACTAGACTGCAGGGTGTTGTTCACAATTTTCTGTGTGATTCATGTGTGTGTTGTACTGGTTAATTTACTAGCATTAGTGATGAGCAGAATCATGAAATAATTTTAGTAATCAATCATTTCACCATTCAGTTTTTACTACTCTCAGTTGAAAAGCTCTTGATAGAATTATGAATGCTGATTTTAAGGCCGTTCACATCAGATAGACAAAGTTAGTGGCTAGCTCAAGTTGAACATTCACCGACTAGAGGCAGAACATTTTCTTGGAACTTGACGAAGACCAAAACAGTGCTACATGGGGAATGAATTTTGGACGTAGATTTGTCAGATGCCCAGAAACACAATTCCAAATGAATGCAATGAATGTTGCTCTGGGTCTGCTAGATGTGTAAATAAAGGAGCTGCCCCTGTCCGGAGCGTTTCCCAGTTGACTAGGAGTTTTTAATTTAAGCCATTAGTCAACTTTTCACACATTTATGGCATTAATTTAATTATATAAGATTATTTTTTTTGTGGGGAAAACAATATGAGCTCCAGGGCTGAGAGAGAATGGTATAAGTTGGCTAACATTATAACTGCATTACAGAGAAATACAAAACTGCAGCTAATAATGAGTTTTTAAAATATAAATATCACGCAAGAATGAGCTGCAGCAGCACTGGCAAAAGTGATAATGATTCTGAATGTGTTAAAGACGGAACATTTTATTAATAACCCCAGCCATACAGTGTGCCTCGGGTCCACAAAGTGCAGCCAGCAAGCACCTTGTCCTCTGTGATTTATCACTGAAGCTATAGGACACTACTTTAATGCTGCCATCAGGCTGTCAATGACCTGCACTAGGCACCCATCAAAAAAGACAATTGGCTGCTGCATTGGTAGTTTGGTGAACTCTCAATAAAAATGCAGGATGATTTTTTTTACCAGCCCTCCTCCTCTCTTACCTGTCCTCTTTGTGTCCCGCCATTCTGGGTGTGCATGTGAACACACTGCCAACAGGTTAGCTATAGTACATTTATTAGATCATACTATGTCAATTCTGTGTGTGTTTCCGCCGGTGTAGCTGGAATTCAACACTACCGTCTCTATAAATTATGTGTGTTACGTTATCCTTGAGAGCTGCAGAAGGTCTCTTAATTCGATTTGGGCTCACTGGTTATGCTCGTAGACAGGTACGGTGAATGCAAAGGAAAAAGAATGTGTAGAACTTAGTGGTTTTTGTTTGGAAAAGTGCTATAAGGTAAATACATCCTTATTTTCTGTCAGTGTCAAGATAAGCAGGTGTACACCTTCCCAGACAGGAAGGGTGTTTGGAATAATCATGCAGTATAGTATTTACGTAAGTTATCTGTAGCAGCATGCAGAGTACTGTAGTTTTGTAGCTCACCAGTCGTGGCAGCTGCATTCTTGTAAGCCTCTTATCTTCACACACTTTTGATGGGATGTTACACCACTTTTTTTTTCGTATTCCTCAGGGCTGCAAATGACAAGAGTAAAGCTGGCATTACCGTTGTTTATCTCCCTCCATGCATCTTTTTCCTCTGTGATTTTCATTGTGCAACAGCTTTTTAAATATTTGTTTTCTTTGAGTTACCTCCTCTACCTGCAGCAGACTTAACTCTGAGCTTGATTTTTTTTTTGGATTTCATTTTTGACAGTTTCCCATAATGACTTTCTCACAGATGGTTGTAAAAGACTAGTTTCTCATTTTCAAAAGTTAGAGCTATTCTAGAGATATTAGTAATATGACACATTTCCACTGTAAACTGTTCTATAATTTGTGGTGGTTTTTGCAGTCTTAAATAAAGACTTAGCTGTTGTTAAGTGGGTTACTCCCACACTTTACTGAGTAGGAGTTATAAATATACATTATCCTTCACTTTCAGAGAAATATAATTCAGCAAGTCCAACAAAAAAAAAAAAAAAAGCTAAGCTCATCCCACTGTCTCTTTTCAGTTTCCTCAGGTGGAGGACCTGGGCCGCACAAACCTGTCCTCCCTCCTCAGCCGCTGCCTGTCAGTCAGCCCGTTGTGGGACCTTCGCAGCCCACTCCACCCATTAACACAGCCCACCCTTATCCGGTAATGGGAAAGCAACCGCAGAGTGTAAGGCCGCCAGGAGACTAATTCCTGCTGCCTGCCTTTGGCTCAGTTTCAGACAGTTGTGTTTATGTTGTTTCGCTAAAACGTTTTTCTCTGCATTGTCTTCCTTTAATCTGCTTGCTGACAGAATTCGGCCCCGATGACTCCTGCTCAGGTGGCTGCACAGATGGTCGTGGAGGCAGCCAACAGCCAGAAGAGAAGCTGTAAGTTAGCAGTGAACAATTTATGTTTGCCACGACTTTAGTTACAGCGCGTCTGTGTTTGCATACTGTCTGCGTGATTAGACCTGTGTTTAACAGGAAAGTGTATTCTTTCTTTCTCTGGAAAACTGTTTTCCAAAGAGACTATTATGCTATATTATGTGTGTGTGATGTAGTGCAACCTTTTGCATTAAGCTCCTTATCATTTATGCATATGTAGTGATCATAATCAAGTACAATTATCCATAATCCAGGTAATGCTATGTATACTCACATTGTCTGGATATCAGGGAACATATTGTTTTGAATATTAGAGCGAATATGATGAGCTTTGGGCTGCAAGGTGGCTCGTTGGTTAGCACTGTTGCCTCGCAGCAAGAAGGTCCCGGTGAGGACACCCGGGATCTTTCTGCGTGGAGTTTGCATGTTCTCCCTGTACAGCGTGGGTTCTCTCCAGGTTCTCCGGCTTCCTCCCACAGTCCAAAAACATGTTGAGGTTGATTGGTGATTCTCAATTGTCCGTTGGTGTGAATGTGAGTGTGCTTTGTTGTCTGTCTCTAAGTGTAGCCCTGTGATAGACTGGTGACCTGTCCAGGGTGTCCCCTGTCTTCACTCTAAGTCAGCTGAGATAGACAACCCCCCTGTGACCCTAAGGAGGATTAAGCGGTGTATAGATAATGCATGGATGGTGAGCTTTCAGTTGCCTTGTGTGAACCCACAAAGAGGAGGAAAGGTAGATGACTACTAAATGGAAACATCTGTCACTCTTGTGTTTCACCACAGAGGGAGACTGTGTGGTCAGAGTAGCCTGGTGTTTACAGTGTAAGGAGATTTTAAAAAAACAAAAACTGGATTTATCCCACAAGGGAAATTGTCTTCACGTGTCCCAGCTTGTTTTGAAGCTGGGATCAGTACGCAGGGTCAACCACACCACGGTGCCCCTGGAGCAGACAGAGTTAAGTGCCTTGCTCAAGGGTCCAACAGTGGCAGCTTAGCGGTGCTGGGGCTTGAACCGCTGAGACACCACTACCACTATTTCATGGTTGAGTAACTTTGTAATTTCAAGTTCACACAAAGGGAGTTTTGTGAGCAACATTAACCAGCCCACAGCAGGGTAATATCTTTACGTTAAAACAATTTATCTAATTAATTAGAGGCTTTGAAATGAATGAATCTTGATAAATCACATTTTAGTCAAATAGCAATATTTGACAAAATAAGCAATGTTTTTCAATTCAAATAAATTTTGGTTTACAACTGAATCAATGAATAGACATATAAGTGAACTTAAACAACAAAAATGTTTATTTTTCGCCACCTACCCGACTGGAATGTGTGCATCAGTGTGCCCAAAATTAGGCAACTAAGAAAGATGCGATTAAATGCGTTATTTTTTTTTACATGTTATTTTTTCTGTAGCTAATTAATTGAAATTAATGCAATAAAGTCCCACCCCTACTTTTCACACTGGGTAGATTCAACCAAAAAAGAGTGTCTAAAATAGGAAAACTACCCACATATTTAGGTATGTTGAGCCTAAAGTCAGACTTTCCAGTGTCTCAAAGGTATTTTTTAGTCTAGATGATTACTCATGCTGCAGAGCTACACTAGTCCTGAGAACAGTCTGCCTTTTTACCAGTTTGTTTACTGAGGATTCTGAGTGATACAGACTCTGAGCTGAGGAGATATGTTATATTTTTCAAACCTTTTGAGTCGTACATTGCTAATACCATTGAATAAAGCCATGCATACACTGTGAGGGTTGTGTTGCCACGAGAAACTACCTGCATTCAGTTGGCAATGAAGAAACTGCATAAATATGTGTTTATGTTTGGTCCTGATTTGCTGCAAAGTCCGTTGACATCACTGGTACTGCAATTAATAGAATACAGATTAGAAAATTGATTAGTCTATATGTATTTATTGCAGAGAATATTTTAATCAATAACTTTAATTTGGCCAAAGTAATATCCTTCATTATAGGACAGTGTCAGGCCTGAATCCATCCATCCATTATCTATACACCACTTAATCCTCACTAGGGTTGCAGGGAGCTGGAGTCTATGCCAGCCGACTCAGGGCGGAGGCGTCCTAACCAGGACTGGGGATCTTCTCGTTGTGAGGCGACAGTGCTAACAACAACCCCTCCGTGCAGCCTCAGAACTATGTTATGATAGAAATAAGCCCTGCAGTGATTGGTAAAATAGATATATTAAAACACCAATAACAATTTCCCACCAGCATTACTCTGTTGCAGTGCATTTTTTAGACTCCATGATAACAACCTGTTCCTCTTGACTGAAGTAGGCAGCACAAACTCATTTTGTGCAATAAAGTCACTGGACCATTAAAGGCCTCCTTTTATGTAAAAGCACAAAGAGTCTGAAGCAGAAAACCTGAGTTAACAAATAAAATTGGTCATGATACTCAAATTTCTGACTGGGGTTTTAGGTTTTGTCGAGCCACCTAACACGACGAAACCCTGGCTGTGTCAAACGTGCTACATAATACAGCTCTTAGTTTGGCTCTTGCTATTTGATAATAAAAGCCTATCTATTATTTTCTCTTTGTCTGGTATTTTATGACTATTTTGTTTTACATTTTTGGTATTTACTAAATCCTCTGAACTTAACAGCTATAGCAGAGTCTTAGTCCTTCTTTTTGTAATGTTCTTTATCTTTTCTCTAGACCCACCAATGGTCCAGCAAGGTCCCCCATTCCCCAGTCAGCCAACAATACCAACAGTCCCTGGGGTGAAGCCCAGCATATCAACAGTCACCACAGGTACTCAACTGCTGTCGCAGCAAGTTCCTCCAAATCAGCAGCAGACAGTCCCACCCTCAGGACAGTCAGCACCCAATCAGCAGCCACAGGCACCACCGCAGCAGCAGCAGACAGCAAATCAGCCCACGCCGTCGTCAGCACAGTCCAACATGGTACGTCAGGTTACTCAAGATAAACTAATCATATGTTTAAAACAGAATCTGCTTTTGTTTTTAGCACTTTCACCTACACGTTGGCACTGCTCAGGATTGGATAATAATTCCAAGTTCCAGGTAACCTCAGGAGAAAGAAATGCAACATGGCACACAGACCAGTTGATGAAATATTCTGACATTTTGGGAAATACTCTTATTTGTTTTCTTGCTGAGCGTTAGATGAGAAGATCAATACCACTCTAATTTGTCCTCAGTAAATCTGGAGCTATAGCCAGCAGCCTGGTAGCGTAGCACAGAGACGGGCGAGAAGGGATTCAGCAAGCACGGCTCTACCCAGTTTTCTACCGACAATATGCCTACCATCACCCTTAAATCTACCTAATCAACACATGTCTTATTGCAGTCTGTACAAAGTGTAAACACAACAAAGTGCAGTTTTTATGGCGTTTGTGTAGTTTGTGATTGCTGTGCAGTTTAAAGAAACATGATATGATGGATTATTTAGTAGGTTTGAAGGCTTTTTCCCAGTGCTTCCAGACTGTAACCTCATTATTTACTAGAAATACAGATCTTGTCATGTAACACTCAGCATAAAAGCAGTTATCTGCTAAGTCTGAGGTTATGGGTGTTTAGTGCAGTTATTGTGTCAGACGTAAATATGTATTATGCTTTGTTGTATCTCTTACGCTATATGTTCAAAAAAGATCTGTTTATTTTTTCAACCCCAAGGTTATTCACAACTGCATTGTTTGACCTATGAAATGAGCTCTTGTCTGTGTAAAAAGAGGTGTTCCGTGTCCATCACCATGTTTAGATTAGTTGCCTGTAGATCTGGTCAGACGTACATAAACATGTACCACACAAATCACCATGTTTTGGAGAAACGTGGGTTGAACACAGGCCCTCGATACAGAAGCAGTATGAGACGTATTTTGGATAACTTGTAACTGATTCATGATCTTTTGAAGTCAAATGTTGTGTAAGTCATTGTTTGCTGCTTTAAGGTTTTTATTGTCTACTCATTTAGGAGTTTCACTGTCTCACAGCGCTCAGTCCTAGATTTAATTCGCTGTTCTCATCCTTGTCAACGTTATCAATGTTTAAGCCTTACTGATATTTTGCAATGTAAGTGCTCGAGTTAGGCGACAGAGAACCAGATCTTTAATTTGTGATGCTGTACCACCAGCTGCCTTGAGCTGAGTTTGCAGACTAACACACTGTCTGAAGTCCCATATCAAAATGAATTTTAAATGCTACTACTACTATCACATCAAAACCAGATGATGGTATCTTTTCCCCAGATCGTCGTGTGGTACAATGCAGTGTTTCCTCTGGTTTCCATTCCATTCATACATTTGTTTTTCTTGTAGTGCAATCTCATGTTATTATGGATTACATTGTTGAAAATTAGCCAGAAGTTTATTAATGTTCCAGTTTAATGAGCACTACAGTATTACATGTTTCATTTTACTTGAATATTGTCACCCACTGTTCTCTTCTGGTGGACAACATGTAACCTCCTCCTCCTCCTCCATTTTCTCTGTAGGCTGGTGCAGCTGGAGCTCAAGGCAACGCAAATCAAATTGGACAACAACAAGGTGTAGCCAATAAGATAGTGGCATGGACTGGTGTTCTGGAGTGGCAAGAGGTAACACAAAAACTCTGATATTCAATTCATGTTCATTTGGGGAACAAAACCCGTCTTACTTTTGAAGATGGGTTGGTACTCTGAAAATAAAACTTGTCAAGGAAACCGCTATCAGGAAGTACTTTAAGTCCTCCAGACTCAGATGATGGAAGTAAGTTAAAAAGTAAAATGGGATGATGACAGCAGAAAGTTGACTTGGCTTTGCATAAGGACCTGAAACATGGAGAAACAGTAAGACTAAATCGGTTTGAAAGGAAACAGAATCTGCATACCACCAGACTTGATGTTACATTGTGAATGCACTAAATGTTCTTTGTTTTTTTTTTAATCCAAAATCCAATAGTATGCCTGTCCAAGCATTTATTTTTCTCAAATTTGACATAAATATTCACTCGATGATGAAGTAATTAGATATTTTTGGTCACTGCGACCTCACTAAGCACATTTTTAACCACAACTACGCAATTCATACATTTATTATGGCAAACGTTTACACAGATATCTCACAGGGCAAAATGACGATGTGATGATATTTTATATCCAAAAGGTCGAAGTTGAAGTTTAGATCTGGATGTTTGATATTTTAAGTAGTGAAAACTAGTTGTATTGTGGACTACTGTGAGGCTATTTCTTGGCCAGTTACAGGGACTTCCTGGATTTTCTATTTGTTGCCCAGCAACCTCACAGTGATGACTTCAAGAATATAGGATAAGTGTATGTAGGAGGATTTTTAACATTCAGACAGAGCCAAATTTTCTTTTTCCCTATGTTTTCAGTCTTAATGTTAAGCTAACTTGCTATTGCCTATAGCATGATATTTAAAGTCTATACATGAGTGGTGTTCATCTTACTCTGAACAATAAGCGATAAAGCATTTTTTCTAAAATGTCTAATTTTTTTTACCTTCCTGATCCCAGCTGTAAATCAGCCTGTGTTAGATTAGAGTAAAACCTAGCAGAGCCTGAGAGCTGCAGTGAGGAACCACTTGCCTGCCAACATATTGTGATCATCACCACTGTCTCAGACATATCACAGTGGTCAGTCTTAATAAGCAGCTGTCATTGATTATTGTACAGTATGATTAATTGCACATCATGTTACTGTCCTACTATTGGTTTAGCTCAAGGTCAAATCGATGTAGTTTACAGTTGCTGTGCTGAGCCAGGGAAATGGATGTTAATGGCTTTTATGCGACACTCATGAGGTCTTGAAGTGTTTGTGTTTGGTGGATAGACTCAGATCAATTCCCTCTATCGACTATAGTCTCATCCTCCCTCCTCTGTTTGTCAGAATTATCTAAGTCGGTTAAATGGACAGGAATAAGAATGAGAAGCCCTGGAAAGTGTAAATCTTGTCTATGACAATGTACAATCACAAACAACCTGAGTGGATAAATTAGTAGCTTAATCTGCTACTGCCTCCTGTAGTTAACTCATCGGGCTTTCAGCTCTGGAAGTGATTCCTATCTGGAGCAATCTGTAATGTTGAGAATAATTTCACTACAGACACTAAAACTCATTTGGAGAAATGGTTGTTGATAAAAACTCTCACAAGGGATGCCAACACACTTGGCTGGAGCTTGCACTGAGTACAGTGTTATCAATATGTTGTGTTTTGGCTGAATTTCAATCTGTTATTTCCGGAGAGCTTTTCTTGTCTAAAATGTGGGGTACCCTTCCAAAATGGTTTACTGACACACTTTTTAAATCCACCTCTTATTTAAGACAGATTAGATTTTTTCGTTACTGTCCACATCTCTGGCACTTAATTCCTTCCGCAGCAAGCCCCAGACATAATTTGTCTGCACCACAATGCATTTGTAATGGACTACAGTAGACCTGACTAATTTGTGATTGATTAATCATTAATCCTGTATTGATGCGCTGAAGATGAGTGCTGGCATTTTTCCCAGTAGAATTGCTGCATTGATGCGCTTTGAAAGTTGTCCTTGTTTTTCTTTGATTCTTGACATTTTGTCTTTAAAAACGTACCCACCTGTTCGTTCCCTAATTGCTTCTCCTGATTGGGGTCACTGACAAAGGGGTGAAGGAGGGGGCCCTGTCGTGTTTCAGTAATATTCTCCAATGGCTTCCAGGCTAACTTGAATCCCCAGATCCTGATCAGACTGCTCAGCAGCATATTAAACGTTACGGTCACCCAAAATGGCAGCGTTGTCTACAAATAGAAAAGAATGGCACAAAGTCAACTGAACACACTGTGTGTTACTTAATCTTACAAAACACCTTGGATCTTGCAGACTATGTGAGGATGTAACAATTATAATAGCAGTCCTCTAAAAGCCTTGTGCTTTTAGATATTTGCTGCCATGTTTAAAATTTTTTTACAAGTTAAGTGACTCTGAGATGCACAAAATGAACTTTTCCACCTTTCTTTACTACATTAAAGTTGAACTCTGTGATCTGGCAGCAACTGTGCACTTTTGAGCCTTTTCCAGACTTAAAAAATACATGCAGACAAAAATAGAAACATTCCCATGTCCCTTTAATTATTTGTGAAAGAGTAAAAAAAAAATTGTCCTCTGTGCCTGCTGAATCTAAGGTTTGCCACTTGTTTTGACTTTTCCAGCACCTTGGCAAAAGGCTTTCACAGGGACTGTTAGTGTTGTGATTCAAGGCACTTAGAGCACACCATCAGGTCTGCTTTGAAGTTAGGTTAGAAGTGTGTGTTATCTAGAAGTATTTCAAAGTTTTTTTTCACCTTAACATAATACAGAGCAGGCTCAGTCACAACAACATGCACATCTTTACTAAAAAGTACTAAAGCTAGCTTTGTATTTTAGTTTTAGTTTGGTTGAATAGTCAGCTATTGGAAAGATTTTCAAAATGTCCTGCAGGGTATCAAAAGTAGCATTTGTCATGTGCTTCACTTTCTAACTTTCATCATGTTTTTCTGTCATACCTCACCCCTCTATATCAATTCCTGCAGAAGCCTAAAGCCTCATCTATGGATTCAACCACCAAACTGACGCGTTCTCTTCCTTGTCAAGTGCACGTTAACCAAGGAGAAAACCTGTGAGTCATTCATCAGACACCTTATCTGGAGTGAAAGTTAGTTTGTTTCCCACAAACAGTTCACCACTGATGTGTCATTATTGTCTCTGAACAGAAACACAGACCAGTGGCCACAGAAGCTCATCATGCAGCTGATTCCTCAGCAGTTACTGGTGAGACCGTTTTTGTTTTTTTCTGCTTTTGTTTTAGCGGGTGAACATGTTGTGCTGGCTCCTGCTTGTTTGCAGTGGTGACTTCTTTATGAATGATGCATAACTAAGTCCTTTCTCGCCTGCTCTCTCTCTCTCTCTCTCTCTCTGTAGACAACCTTAGGTCACCTCTTCAGAAACTCTCGAATGGTTCAGTTTCTTTTCACCAACAAAGACATGGAGTCGCTAAAAGGCCTGTACCGCATTATGGCTAATGGTTTTGTAAGTTTTCAAACTCACTCTGCCCCTCTCTCCACCTCAAATGTGTGTCCCCTGTCTTATCCATCATTCAGTATTCCTCAATGTTTTCCATGAGTGGAAACTGAGTGCATGTCCCACCTCTGTCCAGTAGATGGACTGAACATAAAGCTGTGTTGCAGTGTTGCAGTAAAGACTCTAGAGGGGGTTCTAGGCCGTGCATTTCAAACTACATATGATTTTAAACATGATTTGCCATCAGTTCTGAGAGAAAATGTTATTTGTTTAGTTTTGATTAATTTCTAGAAGGCTAGCATAATGATAGGAGTTTTGTCAGTGTGGTGCATTGTTAATCAGGTAATACCATTGAGAAATAGTACAGGCATTAATAGTATTCAGTCCAGCTGAGCTCTGCCTCTTTGCCTGAATTTGATTTACGGCTCAGGGAAAGCACGGTATGAATTAAGTTAATACCATTTGCATTCAATTTATAAAACCGATATGTTTGATTGGGCAAAGGAGCTCAGGAGCAGGTTATGTCCCCAAGCCGGAGCCCATCACATAATTACAACAGGGTCCCGTGTCAAGGTCTTAATCTGCCCTGTGACCCTCTGCAGGCTGGCTGCGTCCACTTCCCCCACACTACTTCGCCGTGTGAAGTGCGGGTGCTGATGCTGCTCTACTCATCCAAGAAGAGAATATTCATGGGCCTCATCCCCAACGACCAGAGCGGCTTCGTCAACGGCATCCGGCAAGTCATCACCAACCACAAGCAGGTCCAGCAGCACAGAGCGGTGAGTGGAGATGGGAGGAGGAGGAGGAGGAGGAGGAGGAGGAGGAGGAGGAAGCGAGCGGAGCTGGTGGGAAGAGAGGAAGGTTTCAGTGTAGAGTGGGGAGACCAAAAGGAGGGGATAATGAGGAGGCATTATAGAGGTGCACTGGGGAATTGAGGTGCATTGTGTAAGGCGTTAAGTTGCATTGTTATTGACATTTCATTTAGTGAGCCTGGTATCTTCACAGCAGCCACTCTAGTAGGGGCTAATGGGGCTAGCATTAGCTACTGCAGTATTAGTTGACTTGCACTTCCAACTAATTATCTCTGCTTAAGTGAAGGAAATATAGGTGCAATTCATATGCACTCTTTATGTCTACTTTGGTTCAACCTTAACAAAATGGACTCCTCAACACTGTGCATTGTGCACCGTGTTGGGTTATTTAAAAATGCTGTGTTAGCATGCACTCAGTGCTTTTAAGCAGGTCTTTTTCTTGTAAATGATATATAACAGCTTTAAACATCAGGTGTTTACATCACACTCCAACAAAAAAATACAATTTATTAATGAATTAGTTGATAGGCTGATTGTTTGGCTTTGAGTTTGCTAATAATTTAAAGCTCCTGCAAACTCTGCTTTAAGTCCTTAATACATATCCATAATATTAAATATTTATATTAAATCAAGGTGAGGGAGAACCATGGTTGGGTATCAATCATTAAGAGTTTAACACTCAGAAACTGGACCGGCATGGTAAGCAAAGACCACACAACTGAAAGCACATATTGATTCAGATTTGCTCTGATTGGTGTATGGAAGTGTGTGACGCTATATTTCCCCCAAAGGAGCTCCATCCAAATTAAAGCAGCTGGAGGAGTGCAGGCAAAACAAAATATACAGAAAGCTTTCAGTTGAAATAACAACAACTGTCCAAACTTTCATTTAAAACCCCATCGCTCACAGTAAGAAGGCGGCTCAGAAAATAGATTTGTGGGTTTCTTTAATTGTGTTTTAAGCAAAAATGGAAAATATGTTTACTCCAGCTCTGTAAACGTTTCCATTTAGCAGTTTCCTCAATCCTATATAATGGGAGAGTAAACGTTTTAGATCGTTCAGAAAAAACAGGAATTTTGAAGCTCTGGTAAACGGTGATGGGCCTCTTCCCCCAAAATAACTCGCAGATTAATCAGTAATTTAAATGATTGCTACTTGGAGCTCTAGTTTTATACCTCCATCTATTCATTACCTACCTCTATTCTGTAGAAGGCCACAGGGGGCTATGAGAGGGGACATGCACCCCATATAGGTCGCTGGTCTGTCGCAGGGCTAACACAAAAAGACAAATGACCATGTGGCCAATTTGGAGTCACCAATCAACCGACCTTGCAGGTTTTTGGACTGTGGGAGAAAGCCGGAGAAAACGAGAAGAACATACAAACTCCACACAGAAAGGCCCGAGCCAACCAGATTACACAACAGTACTAACAGTACCCTTGCTCCACAGCACCACTGTCCCGCCGTTTTTTATTACACGTGTGAAGCATGATGTCATTTCACTGTGCAACAAGGTGCAAGAACTTCAAAAAAACTCTGGAAATGTGTAGATTTGTGAAATCCCACAAAGAGCAGTGCTGTGGGAGTATTCATTTTGCAGGTTGTTTAAAGGTTAAAGAGCCACTATTGTCCTTGTTGAGGTTTTGCTCTGTGTGTGTTACGGCTTTTTTGTGCATGTAAAAAGGTCTGCAAACTTATAAAAGCCTAAAGTATCTTACACAGAAAATCCTGCTCCTGATCTGCCTCGTTTGAAGTCCAGGCTTTTCTTCCGTCGCGTATCTACGTCACCATGTACCTCGTTTGCACAACACCTGCCTTACGTTTGCATTAGCAATCAAAGATCACTAGAGCCTCTTCTGTTTGAGGTACCTCCCTATACTCAGAGGTCTGGGGTTATGGTATGTACCGTCACTTCTGTTGGGGCAATCAAAGGGAGAGTTTTCAGAATGAGAGACCTTAAAGAAACACAAGCTAAAACAGAGCAGAGAGGCTGAGCAGAGGTGCTGCAGAAAAGTGTAAGAAAAAAATGTTTTTTAACATTAAACCATGAAGACACATTCTAGTTGAATTTCATAAACCTGTAAATGTGTGTAATATGGGCTCTTTTACATTCCATGAGATGCGCTGTCGGAGGAGCGATGCTGTGGCAGTGATGTGCACCGCTCTTTAGGGACAGAATAAGTAGATCTACAGTGGAGGCCCCTCCATGCAGCCCCCCCCACCATTCGCTGAGTTCATTACAGGTTACAAACACTGCTGCCTTGTCCACATGACATGGAAATTTCACTTTCCCTCTCTGCTCATCTTCATCCCCGGAGACAGGGTGATTTAAAATGTGTCCTCTGGATTAGCTGTCTTTTCCATCACAGGGCTCCACTCCAGCTTATTGCATCCAGGGAGGAGAGGTGCTGCATAACTGTGAAACAATGCCGAATCCAGCCAGAGACGCAGCATGTTTCTCTTTAAAAATGAAGCCCGTTGTCAGGTTTACATGAGTTAGATTACATTTCTCCTTGCAGTCTGCTCTCATCAGCGGTGATAGCGCTTGTTGACTCACCCTGCTAATTTAATGTCTTCACAAAATCACATCAGCCCTATATGTAAGTTGAAGCAGTGTGTGTATGAGTATCAGAGCATTTAGAGAAGGCAGAAGACATGAAATTATAATGAAGATTTTTTTTTTTTCCGCCTCTTGTGTATCATCACATATTCAGTGCTGCATTGCTAATAGGGAAGCGCTACAGCAATCTTAACGTAATTAAAATTTCAATTTGGACCAGTAGTTAAGGTTTCTCTGTGCAAAGCCCTGGAGTGGCATTCTTTGGGAACAAGATTGCAGTTTGTTCTGTTCACGGCGAGACAAAATTGAATATTTTCCCCTTAAAAGTGATGCAGGCTCTAAATCTTGATCCGGGATTTTACAGGTTACTGGGTTAAAGACAGGAGATAAATCACAGATAGTAGAACAAAAAGAGGCAGCTGTTTTGTTAGTTCCCACAAAAGACCTAAAGCTGTGTGTTGCTGGTCAGAAAACATACCATGCATTAGCACAATCCCGGGGTGATTTGCTCAGAATCAGCAAGATGGATGGGTGAAGATGTTTTTCCATCACACTTTTTTTTTTTTTTTCTCCCCCTGAGTCTGTAGTTAATAATTTGTGCTTGGAGGAGGGATGAAACACCCTTCATTCCTCCTTGTCTCTCCCTCAGTGTGGAAACACACAAGGCACCGCTGCACCTGCAGAGCACAGCTACCTCAGGAGCTCTGCTGCCGGTTTCGAATTCTGCCTTTTAAGCAGTTACCACTTGTCTCATATTGCAATTTTCTGTCTTGACTGATTTGTTTTGAAAGTACAGGACCATGCAGATGAAATGTGAAACAGTCAGTGTATCATCTGAGTATTAGATGCTATATTTCAGGATGATCAGAACCTATCCTACAGCTGTGTTCCCAGAGCCCGCAGACTGGTAAACCAACAGCAACAGGTCGCCTACTTTCTTTGTTATTCTGTGTTTAACTGCAGGTGGATATTGTATATGATTTTTCCCACTCTGGACTATGCTGACAGCTTTAGTCATCAAGCTTCAGTTTGTTTTAAACCGTGAAATCTAAAATAGCAAACACCTCAGCAGGTGGTGCTTGAAGTTAAATCTCCAGTGGTGCATCATCGTCCTCTGTTTGTTTTTGCTTTCTGTCTGCACGCTCACGGACAAAGAGAGTGAATACGCAGTTTCACACGCTTCCAGCATTGTTAACACAGTAAACATCAATTACACACAGCAAATATGTGTACGATTAAGTTTAGATGCAGAATGACAGTATCGAAAATATCAGAATTTGCAGAACGCAATCTTTTATTTGGACTTGATGTTTTTTGGCTAAGCTTTTTCAAAACCATACGATGCATGGTATACGTCACTGCTGTTATTTCTGCTATTCACAGGGTTAGGCTACAAAGAGATCTCCCCCTAAGTTACCCAATAGTAAAGATCTGGGACAAAATCAGCAATCGTGGCTGCATGGAGAAAAAAAATGCATTAAAAAGCTAATATAAGGCTTCATCCATCTTAAACATATTGACTGGGTTTGAAAGTTTCTCTATTTAGTGCCCTATTTATTTATTCATTGAATCCTTTATTTAAACATGTGTTATTGCTGAGGTCATTTTTCAATAGAGATCCGTGCACAAAAGATGTATAGAAATTCACAGTGAACACTAAATTCAAAGTGCTTGAGCGTGATATTTTTAAACTCGAAAACAAATGAGAGATTTTAGTGTCTCTGGCTTAATTTGTGAAAAGCATAGTATTTAAAACTAATGTGATATTCCTAACATTAAAACATCCTATCACCTGATATTACAATGAATAGATTTACATGACTAATAATGCGCTAGTCGCCCCTGTGTTGGTGGAAGAGGGTCAGACCACCAACAGTGTGCTGTGATACAGAGTCAAGAGGCTTTAAGGTCGAGGGAGATACATGGATGTGTACTATCAGTGTGATCAAGCGTGCACAGAACTGTACGCTGATCAGTGGTGTTTGTACTGGCACTAGATAAACAGGATTTGTTTCTGTACACAAATCTGATTTTAATCTCCAGTTTGTTCGTCGGGTGTTGCACATGGGACTTAAAAGTGAGGGTTAGAGTTCATATTTGTTGCATTCAACACTTTCAATTTAAAATCCCTCACGGAGTTGGATGTGAACAGTGGGCAACTTATGCTTCGCTTTTTTTTTTTTTTTTTGGTTGTGTGTGTTTTTATTAAATTGGGTTTTGTTAGGGTTGTGTTTTCAAGTCTATCATCTAAGTCAGCAAAACACCTTTTTACACATGCATGCTAAATTAGTTAGAGTTTTCATTCCACTGTATTTTTCTGATGACTCTCGACCCTTGGATTTTCGTGGTCGGACCTTTGATACCATCTGCAGTGCTTAGACAGGCTGTTCAGTTTGTGTAGCACTGCAATGCTTCATTTATTTATCATGTTTGACACTGTGAAGCATTTTGTTGCTGTGTTTCTGTACTTCTTTGGTTATTTGTTTGAGCTTTTATTGATGTGCGAGACACAAGAAATCACGATGAACTTAAAGGTCCACCCTCTGTTAAGTAAGCAAGAAGCAGAGCAGTGCTGAAGAAGAAAATGCATACTGAGCTGGAAAATAAAGTTAATGACGTTTCTGTACATTCTGGGGAAAAAAACTACTAACTGCTGCCTCTCTTTCGATTTTTGCGCAGCAGTTGGGCGGTGCAGGGGGTCCAATGCAGCCTGGTCAGGTCCCCCCGAATCAAAACTTCCTCAACAGGCCCCCTGGTCCCATTCCTGTTTCCCACGGCAATGTCCAGCCTCAGGTAAATCAATGAGCCCACTCTGTCCTGGCATGTCAGCCTGTGTTTCCACATCAGTTTCCCTCTCACACTGCCTGTTGTTGGCACCTTGTCTGCTGGTTTCCGCATGCCTTACTGGTAACTCTTTCCTCCACTGTCCTCCTCGGTTTTTTTTCACACTTCCACCACTCTCCCCCTCCTCCCTCCCTCTCTCTGATCTGTCCTGTGTCCAGTCTGTGGTGGTGGGCATGCCCCCTGTTAGTCAGGTCTCTATGATGGAGGAGCAGCAGAGGCAGAACAACATGGTGAGACCCAGAGTGGCTCTTAACTTACAAGCAACATGTATTCAGGTTGTCCCGAAGGGCTTTAAAGTATGAAATCATATTTCAGTTACAGGTTTTATTGAACTTCATAGATTAGCACACAACTGATTTGTCAGTGCAATGTTAATTTCACAATAAAGCGGTCCTTCTCTGTCGTTTTTCTTTGACAATACAGTAAAGAGTTCTAGAAATAACCATAAATAAGAGATAAGCTGCTTTGTTTCTTTATTGTGAACAATGTTGAAATCAGTTCCAGTCTTTGTGGAAGTCATGGACATCCTGCTCAGGAATCCTGTGATAGACACGCTGTCACCCCCCATCTCATTGCTCAGTATCAGGCTGATGTAATCTCCTATCAGCATGTTGAATGCTCCTCTGATAGCATGCCTTTGATGCAAAATAACACATTTGATTGATAACATGCATGCATTAGTTTGTATTCTTCATTGAACAGGATCTGTTTGCTTTAGATATGGGGTGATTGTTACCAAACTATTAACATCATCTTAAGCCTGGTAGCTTCGGTAATACCAGCCTTAAAAGGGTCTATTTTCAGTTGTTAGTGTTTTTGAAGGGCTTTTTAAAAGTTTTTTTAAATGTATCCGCTAAACTTTTTCATATAAAAGATGTATGCGTGTAAAAAGGACGGTCAATATATTGTCCAGTTCATATCTATTGAAATTTACACAGTGGTCAAATTCAAGTTTGCATATGTGTTCCTCTTCTGGTGTGGTTTCAGTTTTACCTTTATTTCAGCTTCGACCGTGTGTTTGTGCTCAGTCACAAACACACGCACTGGTTTGCTGTATTTTTTATTTGCTGTATCTGTAGAATTTATCATTTGGTCACATTTTATCACGGTATAGTTTGTGATCTCTTTAATTAGTATTTCAATGTTTAGGCTGAGTGCGAGCTAATTTTGTTGAGCATAATCATATCTTCAGACATATTAAACTGCGTGGCTTCCTTCAGATGACAATGAGAGCAACGGGACCGACCAATCAACAGCCGCCAGTCAGCGGTGCCCCACCCAACCAGGTCGCGCAGAGCGGACAAGCCCCTCCCCAGGGTCCCATACTTCGCCTCTCAAACCCAGGAGCCAATCCACAGCTTCGCAGTCTTCTCCTCAGCCAACAGCCAGTAAGAGTGCAACAATGGAAGCAGCGATCTGAGGTTATCAAGTAACTGCAGCTGCTGAAGTCTGAGACTTTGCAGACGTTAACGTTCCTGTTCTGTCTCTGTGTCCTTGCAGCAGGGTCAAGTGTCTCACATGACCGGCATGATGTCTCACCAAGGTTTAGGACAGCAGTTGGTCCATCCGGCACCAGGAGGGGGGGCTCAAATGCAGGGCCAGTGGAGGCAGCCCATGGCAGGTCAGAAAGCACCCCACAGAGAGGTGGAAGGAGTTCAGAAACATCTGACTAGAGTAGACATGACATTTTAGAATATGGGCCTGGAAATGTAGTCACTGAAGGGTATGAAGGTTGACATCTGAAGAAAGCAACTTGAAAGAGTCACGTGTGTGAAAACTGAGAAATTCCTTTGGAGCATCACATATTCAAATTTAGATATAGAGAGACCTCAAAGAGCAGAGTTTGTTTGAGATGTTTTTATTGCATGTAGTTTACTTACATACCAACTGTAAAGTTTTCTTTGTTTGGGTTAAAGCTCTTCCAGTGTTGCAATCTTTATCTACCAAAAGTCAACCTGCAGAGAGTTGCTGGAGTTACATATTCCATTCCAGTGTGCACACTGCTCAAATGTATATTGTTACTTTATTTTTGTGCAGATTGATGAGGTTGTGGTGCTTTTATACAGTGATTAGCAGCTCCAACTTTGAAGATTTCCATTGCGAAGAAATTAATTTCGTTTTGATAGCCAGGCATTGGCGCTATTCAGACAAACCCAGAGGGCACTGAAGAGGAGATGCAGCTAGTGAGGAAGTGGATTATGTTTTCTTCTTCCCCTTATCTGCAACAACAAAAACAAAACTGGGCAGTTCTTCCTAATCGGAACAGTATCATTTGACCATAAAGCATTGGGATCATTTGTATTTATTTTAAGCCTAACAATTTTCCTTCATCAGATAAATGGCTACATCTTCATAATCTTTCTCTATGATTGCTCATCATTTATTTTACTTATAAAGCACATTTACAATAAACAAGAGTTGAACCAAAGTGCTGCACAATGAAAGCATCAGGCCATATAACACAATCAAATAAAATGACTACGAGACAAATGAATAAAAAACACAGAATAAAAAGTTACAATACAGTAAGAGTTGAAATCAGGGCGCTTGAATCGTATACAAACGAGAAGAGGTGGATCTTCAGAAGCAACTTAACCGTTTCTGAAGTCTGAGCATGAAAAGGTAAACAGCCACTACAAATGCTTGATCTCCTCAATTTTTATGCCTGGATCTCAGAACATCCAAGAGTTGGACTTTCAAACAAAAAAGTACAAGAACACATACCGTTTCATAGTTGATTAAAAAATCCTGGATGTCTGAGCTTTGAGCCAATGCATTTTAATGCACCATGTAAACATTTCAAATCACTGTACACAGTAGTTAAGTACCTTGATGTTTACTTATGCCAATCAAAGTGCCTCTAAAGTAGCTCTCTTTTGTAAAGAACAAAAACCCAGATAAAATGACTCCTGCTATCTTTGCTTTTTACACAAGTATCAGTTCTGGAAGTGCTTACAGAGTATATTTTCTGTTATCTCTCCTCTTCTCTCCACCCGACTCCCTCACCTGTGTGTAGGTCCGATGCTGATGTCTGGAGGTCAGAGAGGAGCTGTACCTCAGCCCGGGATGCCCCAAGTCTCCAGCGTCATGGAGGATGAAATCCTCATGGACCTTATCTGATTGAGCGCTGTGGACTCAGCAGCAGGGACTTTAGTTGAATCTTGGCAGCTATTTGCCAGTTTGGACACATGCATCCACTCTGTTGCTTTATTGCTACAAATGTTCAGCATAATTAAGAAACGACTCATGAGTAGTTTCTTCTTTTTTTTTTTTTTCTTTTTACGGGACTGAGCAGCTGAAGTTAATTAGGGGCAGACAATGCAAGCATTAGTTCCTCATGTAAATGGTCAAACCGACAGCACGCTAATCCTCCATGCTACACACTGGATAGAGCCAGTGGAAACAGTCAATTATATCATGCGTCTGGAAACTCCACTCTCCTACGAGTTTTACACTCTATCATTGAAATCTAAATTAGTGTTATTTTTTTTTTTCCTTTTAATTTACTTTTTCTGTTCGTTTCTTTTTTTAATTATTCATCAAGCTGTTTTATGCGTTTAAAATAAAATTAAGGAGCATAGATAACTGAAGAAGTTGTTTGTCACTGAGAAAAGGTTTTTCTGTCGATGCAATGCACACGCCGATGTTGTGTGTGTGATGGGCAGCCAAAGCTCCACACTTCTGTCCCCCCCGTGTGAAAGCAGCTTGCACTCTTAAGGTGAGAGAGAGACTGAAATAGACACAGTAATAGATAGTTCAGTGTCTTTTTCTGCCAAATAGTGTCACAGTGTTAATTTTAACTACTCCAATATGTTGTGGAACCATAGAGAGTCCCCCTTGTGCCAAGTAGTCCTACCAGATGGCATCAGTTGGCCATGTTTCCATTGGCATAACGTACAATCAGGCTGGCCGCATGCGCACATGGCACAGACTCCCCATATATGCCCACAGTCTGCTTTCACAACGCACCCGCGCATGCAATCATGATGCATCCGAATTAAACCCTGCACACCAACAAACACGATCCCGTCATGTACCTGATGCTGGTGAGATGGCTGCAGCAAGGGGAAGAGACACACACATGAACTTTGCACAACCTCACACATACGTTCACGACACGTTCACCTATTAGTTTATACAGCGTTTTTTTTTTTCTTTTTCTTTTTACACTTAGACACTGTGTGTACACATACACACTCACCAACAGGAAGTGATGTCAGTCCCTGTCACCTGGGAGACAGAGACGGTTGCTAAGATACCGTGACAGTGGGTTCTTGTTTCTGAGCTTTTTCCTCAGCCCCGCTTTCACATGGACTCACACAGATAGACACTAGTCCCTCAGTGGCTGGTGTTCATCCCTCCCATCCCTTAATCACTGGCCGGCCCTCGGAGCCCGGCTTAGCTTCACTTTATCTTCCTCTCTCCCGCTCACTCGCTCCCCATCTCCATCTATCTGCCTCTATCTCACTATCGAGCTATTAGCGCCTGTCTGAACTCATAAGTTTTTCAGTATCTCTTTTATTAACAGCAGAAATGTTCACACATTCATATTACGAAACGTAGTGGTAAATAAAACGGTGACTACACTGACCTCCAGTCAGGATGGTCGTTTGACAAACAGCTACCGTAAAACTTTTAACAAATCAATACTGAACAAATCATACTTTAAGAGAGACATTATTTTAAGCTTATTAGCTGTTAACTGTACAGGTCGCTCTTAAGTGTAAATCCCTGCTCCATTTATTCCATTGGGTTTGATTATGTTTCCGCACTGTGGTACATTATGTCATCACGGTGATACTGTAGGTGTGAACAGCATGTCCCCTTTTCTTATACATAGTTAAGAAAAATACACCCAAGATAAATAAGCTGTGCTTCAATAAACCAACACAGCAAAACCAAACAGAAAAATATAAAAGATATGCAAAAAGTGGAGAAATACAGTTACATACAGGGAAAAATACAACACCAAAAATGCCATAGCATAGAGAGAAAAGAGAGTAAAAGAGACAAGATCACATAAAAGTTTTTAAGAGGTGATTTGAAAGAAGATCCTGCAAGACTTGTGGCATCAGTTCATATATAAAATGTGACAACTGGCCTTTAATATGAACAGAGGTGATCCTCAATAATTAAGGGACAGTCCGTATGAGTCAAAATAAAACCCCACTGGAACCAGAGACTAACACCAGCAGTACTGAAAAGATGATTCAATAGGTTAGCTGTATGCCCTGCAAAGCACAAGAGAAGTGAAAGAATTTGACGTAATCGGCAACGAGGACTTGGCCTGTGAATTTAACACAATATAAAATGAGGAGATTAGATTTTCAAAAAGCAAGTAGAAATTATTTAATGCATTGAAGTACAATTAAACACACATTCACATAGAAGTATTAAGTAATTAAAGCATTCGATCATTGAATACCATGTTTTATAGTGTACAGCTGGGTCCATAAGTATCTGGATGGTGACAATTTTCCTAATTTTCCCTCTATTCCACCACAAAGAATTTGAAATGAAGACGTGATTTAAGTGTAGATTTTCAGCTTTAATTCAAGCTATTTAACAAAAATATTGCATTAACTGTTTTGGAATTACAGCCATTTCTCACACAGTCGTACCATTTTCACAGTCTTAAAAGTAAATGGACAGTTAACTGAATATCCAACTTGATATCCAGGTGTGGCCTGTTCTCTCATTATTTCATGATGAATTAGAAGGTTAAAGGTTTGGAGTTGATTTAAAGTGTTGAATTTGCATTTGGTAGCTGGTGCTGATGCAAGTGAAGGAGGCTGAAAAATGGAACAGAGCCATTAGAGAGGCAGCAGAAGCTTTAGGTGAGACTACGTCAATATTTCTGGTACATTTTTGGTGACCTTGGCAACACCAAAACACCTGGAAGACCACAGCAGACAACTGAAGTAGATGATCGCACATTTCATTCCTTGGTGAAGAGAATCCCCTACACAACATCTTGTGAAGTCAAGTGTACCCTTGAGGAGGAAGGTATATCATTTCAAAATCTACAATCAAGTGACGGCTTCATGAATGTAAATACAGCAGATTTACCTCAAGTTGCAAACTGCTGGTGACATTGAAGAACAAAGCAGCCAGGCTACACTTTGGTAGAAAACATCTGCCCAGTTCTGACACAAGATTTTCTGCACAGCTGAAACCAAGAGGAATTTGTAGCAGAGTTACCGGAAGAGAAGAGTCTGGAGAAGGAAGGGAAGCAGATCATATCATCTGTCGAACATGGTGGAAGCAGTGTTATGGTATAGACATGAATGGCCGCCATTGGAACTGAACTACTGGTGTTTGTTGATGACGTGACTGCTGAGTAAGACCTGACTTCAACCCACTTGAGATTGCTCTTCACTTACTGAAGACAAAACATCACAAACACGCAGCACCTGAAGGCTGCTGCGGTGAAGATCTGGCAAAGCATCTCAAAGGAGGAAACACAGCGTTTAGCGATGTTCATGGAGACATAAGGAAATCAGTGGCAGCAAAGATTTGCATCCCAGAATTACAGTCTCACTCTGATCATTCATTCTTTCTTTTTTGGTACCTTGAAAACATGCCTGTATATGTATTTTGAATATGCTGGAATACCATGGCATCGCACTTCCACCCTGAAGCTGCAGTGTACTGATGACCACTTCAGAAACAAAAATCAGACTTCCAAGGCTTCATACGTGACAAACCAAAATTTGGTATCATTATTCTTCTTCAGTATTGAATTCCAGGCCCAACGTGTGGCTGAATTACTTGAATATGACAACTTAGCTTTACTGTTTTTAGAGGTTAATCAATGAGTAGAGACGGACTTAATCGTAATAATTCTATTAGTTTGTCCATTTACATTTGAGCCTGCAAAACTAGAGAGAGCATGTAGAACATTCCTAAACAGTTATTGCAATATTTTTTGCTAAACCCTTAAATGAATCCTGAAACTTTACACTCACATCCACATTTCAGTTACTTCATTTTAAATCCATTATAAAGGTATACAGAGCCAAAATTGTAAACATTGCATCATCATCCAAGTACTTGCTGAGGACATTGATGTCAGCATGATATCATTTTGCAGCAATTGACATAAATAATGATAAAGAACTTTCCAGCCATGATAACATCAAAGTTGTGCAGGATTTCAGCCTCCATCCAGTTATAGTTTCTCCGACTAGACCTGCAAGTGTTAAGATTGTCTACCAGCAACGGCCTTCTTTGGCTGAAACCCAAACCGGTTGCTTTTCAGTGGTCTGGGATCCTGAAATATGCGCATGTGATTGATTTAACAAAGAAGAACAACAGTCCAGTTCAGTCCCAGTGTGTAGCAAAAAGTGACACAACAATGCAATGACTAATCTGTAAGAAAAAGTGGTTTAAAGAAGGAAATAACAATAAACTAGTCCTCTACAAGCATAAGAAACAATACAAATTTAAACAAATTACTAACTATAAAATTGCAATAGCAAATAAGGCTGAATTTTTGTAGCCAGAGAAAGTGCAAATGAAGTGATTTTTCTGCACAGCCCCTGAACACTGACTTAAAGTCTTTTAATCGCAACTGGTTTATGAAAACTGTATTTCATTGTCAGGGCAGCCCATGTCCTGTACATCTGCCCCACCATGCCCTCGAGCTCCTGGTAGATTCTGATTCCCAGACTGTGTTGTGTATGTAATCCCAATTTCAACCTCCATTAAACACACCTAACTACCACTTGTGAGCTGAGCCCTGTGAAACTCAAATTCCTTCCCTTTGGGCAGCAACTGGCTCCCAACAGGACACTCCAACATTTCCAGGACACCAGGAGGTGCTGGCATCAGACAGCTGGCGGAACAGTCAAACCTCCGGCTGAAGGCTGCAGTGTTGGAGTTCTCCCCAGACAGTGGGAAACTTCACTCTACTGTACGTGGCCCACAAGTCACTGAAAGGAAGGCGTTGATGGTTGGGCTTATAAGCACAGGGTGACAGTTGGGAACTCGTAAACCTTCAAATCAGAGAGGAGTCCTGTAATAAAATCTGAAGCTTTAGACTCTGAGACAATAGAGAAATCTTGAGGTAGAGAAGGAAGGCTTGCCTGACTCAAACTTCTGCTTCTTTTTAATTTTTTTTTTAGTCAATTATGAACAAACACCACGTGTAAACATGCAGTAACCAACACCTTTAGCCAAGGAGCTTTTGTAATAACAATGTCAAAATTTCTATTCCAGGACACTCAGGTGGATAAAGATAC